TCCTCCCCTTTGAGTATGGGTAAAAACTATACATATGATCATGTCATTCCCATGATAATGCTTTGCTTTACAGCAAGAGGGAAATAATTCAAGTGGACCCAATGTCATCATGTGAGACCTGGAAAGTAGAGTTCTCTCCTGGCCAAAGACAGAAGGGGGAATCAGAGAGATCTGAACGTGAGACAAACTTGACACGCTGTTGTTGATTTTGAAGGTAGAGGGAGCCATATGCAAAGATGATAGAAAGGCCCAGAGGAGCTGAGCTATCCCCTGGCCAACAGTAACCAATGAGGACCTCAGTCTTCCAACTGGTAGGAACTTAATTCAACCAAGAACTCGAGTGAACTAGGAAGCAGATTCCTTCCCCAGAGTGTCCAGATAAGAGTGCAGCCAACAGTTACCTTGATTGTGGTCTTTGAAACCCTCCAGAGAGGATCCACCTGGACTTCTGACCTAAAAGAGTAAGAGAATAAGTGAGTGTTGTTTTAAGCCACTTCGTTTATGGTAATTTCTTACATGGCAGGAGAAAAACGAATACAAAACAACTATAAAGATTTCACCAACTCTGAGATGACTCAGACCACATTTCCAGGATAGCTTCAGGCTACTTATAGCTGCAATCAAGATGCAGGGTCTCTGATAGTTTCTTTAATCTGCCAATTGAATAACTGTATTGAAACAGAAAAGCTATATTTCATATATTTTTCACCTTAAAAAAATAATACCTTAAACACGGATCGGCCTTCTTTTCAAGGCACCTTCCTATGTCTTGTCTCCTCTTATCCTCACGGAAGCCTCCTGAGGGGCAAGAAGACCAAAGCCTACGGGAGTCATTTGCGCAAAGAGAACAAGACTGACTTCAGCTTGATATTTGGAAAGCCTTTCAAGCAATTGCAACGGGCACACTGTGGAAGGAGCTGCCTTCTGAAATCATAAACCCTGCCTCGCTGGAGGAAAAGGCTTATGTAGCCCTCCTGGAAGGATTTAATTAATGGGAAAGAGCCTGGCTTGGTTAAAAGGCCAAACCTCTGAGGTCCGTCCCGGAACAAAAGGGTCTGTCTTCCCAGGAACAACCAGACTAAATCGATCCGTATCCGTGTTGGGGCCAGCTGGCCAGGCAAGAGCGCCTCTTGGAGGAGTCCTTGCCATTCTCACAATTGCCATTGGCTCGACACAGCGAGCTTACTGAATTCCTTGGTGCAAAGCCCAAGACTGCGGGATGGATTCCAGTGACCGCTTCTGTTAAGGCACCAAGGTTTCCTTCCCTGGCTGAGTTGCGCCAACACTTTGTACTAGAGGCAACGTAGGAACCCTATCTGACTCCAGAGCCCTCGCCTGAGACCTCGATAGCCTGATCCGCCCACCTCAGTGGAAAGCAGCTGCAGACTGAAGCGGCTGGCTTCATGTTGACAGAGATGGACAGGCTGACGAGACCCCAGATTGAACTTTAGAGCAGGAGCGGGTATCCCTAAGGCCTAGGACAGCCGGATGGCCCATGACCCAAGCAAAATGGCGACCCTCATGTGGAAGAGGGAGGCACTGTTTTCCGTTTGGTTTACTCATGGCCCAAGCCTAAGCCCCACTGCCCCTGCCTTTGTTATTATTAGCCTTAGCCCAGCTTCCCTTCCCGAAGCTCAGTCTTCCCATCTGTAAAATAGGGATTGGATTAGTTGATCTCAGAAACACCTTCGAGCTCTAGAGTTCTGTTACTATGGGGAGAAAAATATTTTGGGGGGGGGAGGGGAGGGCCCTCCCCCCGAGTACTTCTTCTGGAGATCATCAGAAGCTCAGCAGTAGGTACTCTGGAAGAGATTGACACCCAGCTCCAAGGGTTTCTTTCCAGAGATTCTTGAGTTTCCTGTGCGAATTCTATTTCTGCAAACCCTTGTGTTTCTGGACTCCTGGACTCCTCGAGAGCCCTGCAGCTCTATGGAGAAGAGGCCTGGGTCCCCCTCTGGCCGGCAGAGGAGGCTGCCGTGGACAGATCAGGGGTGGGAGAGAGTGGGGAGGTGAGCAGGCCGGAGGCCAGGGAGTCTGCCAGTCCGGGCAGCTGCCTTTCCTCCTGGGAGGTTCAGGGCTGCAACAGCCCCTGGAAAGTTCTGGAAGAAGCCGAGGCTCGGGTGGGTGGAAGGCACTGGGGCCAATCTGGAGTCAGAACTCAGCCCCTGAGAGCAGGTATGGCCTCTGTTAGGACTCAGCTAGGAGTGTCTGAGAGGTGGGGGGAGCCCAGCTCACCAGCCCTGAAATGCAGCCCATCAGTCGAGCCAACACCTGCCCTCACACGGGAAAACTGCCGGTGGAATAGCAGGTCCCCACACCTGTCCTGTCCACCTGGGGATCTGCCTTCCTGAGTGTCACGTGCAAAGGCTGAAATATATCTGGGAATTTTGCACTCAATTAAAGGAGAATTCAGGGGGCAGCTGGGTGGCTCAGTCGGTTAAGGATCCGATTTTGGCTCCGGTCACGATCCCACAGTTCCATGAGTCCGAGCCCCGCGTCGGGCTCTGCACTGACGGCGCAGAGCCTGCTTGGGATTCCCTCTCTCTCCCTCTCTCTCTCTGCACGCCCCCCATCACACTTTCTCTGTCTCTCTCAAAATACATAAACTTAGAGAATTCAGGAACTCACTCCGTCTTTCCAAAGCCATTTTGGTGTCGGTGGAGACACAGTCGCCATCTGGCCCGAAGAGTGTTCACCTGGAACCACCGGTGAACTCTAGACATCAGATTCCAAAACAGAATTCATCTTGGAGGCCCCCTTGGGTGGCCCCTTCTGGTCCAACCTGCAGGTGGAGAGCCTATGTTATTAATTTTCTAGGTATCAAGAAGTGAGGCCGTTTTTCAATGGCTTTATTGAGGTATAATTTACATGCGTTACAGTTCACCCATTACAAGGGTACAATTCAGTGATGGTTAGTACTTTGTAGAGTTGTGCAACCATTACCATCATCCAGTTTCAGACTTTGCCATCACCGTGTTTGTGATAATACCCTCTAGTTCGATCCACGTTGTTGCAAATGGCAAGATTTCATTCTTTTTTTTCACCACCACGTCATATTCCATTGTGTATGTGTATGTGTGTGTATATATGTATATATATACCACATCTTCTTTATTCATAAGTTGGGGAACACCTGGGTTCTTTCCATAATTTGGCTATTGTTGATGGCGCTGCTGTAAACATTGGGTTACACGTGTCCTTCAAATCAGCATTTTTGTATCCTTTGAATAAATACGTAGTAGTGCGATTCCTGGGTCGTAGGGTAGTTCTGTTTTTAATTTTTTGAGGAACCTCCATACTGTTTTCCAGAGTGGCTATACCAGTTTGCATTCCCACCAATAGTGAAAGAGGGTTCCCCTTTCTCCGCACCCTTGCCAACATCTGTTGTTGCCTGAGTTGTTAATGCTAGCCATTCTGACAGGTGTGAGGTGGTATCTCATTGTGGTTTTGATTTGTACTCCCCTGATGATGAGTGACGTTGAGCATTTTCTCATGTGTCTGTTGACCATCTGGATATTTTCTTTGGAAAAGTGTCTGTTCGTGTCTTCTTCCCATTTCTTCACTGGATTGTTTGTCTTTTGGGTGCTGAGTTTGGTAAGTTCTTGATAGATTTTGGATACCAACCCTTTATCCAATATGTCATTTGCCCGTATTTTCTCCCATTCCGTTGGTTGCCTTTCGTTTTGATGATTGTTTCCTTCGCCGTGCAGAAGCTTTTTATCTTGACCAGGTCCCAGTAGTTCATTTTTGCCTTTATTTCCCTTGCCTCTGGAGACATGTCAAATAAGTTGCTGTAATGCACGTCTGTTTTAAAAAGTACCAGAAGCAAGCCTAATGCTTGTTTTTATTTTATTATCATTAGGAAAGATAGTCAAAGGAGGATTAAACAGATGGAATGACTGATGGCTTCATTCATGAATTTGCTTCATAAATAATAATTTAGGGTCTCTATGTGGCCAGAGCCGTTTCTGGAGATGAAACCACGAGTAGGACATGGCCCCACCTTCACGTGTCTTACGAAGATTGTATGAACGACGTGTGTGGTATATGTTGGACGCTGACGTGCAGGACAGTGGGGGAGGACCTCAGCTGAGGGACATGTACTCACTCCCCCCAGTGCTGAGGGGTCTGGGGATACTTAGCTGGGGAGCTAATGTCAAATATGAGCCCCAAGGGATGAGTGGCCACCACTAGGCTACTAACGACCATGTTGAGGAAGGACACGACTCAGGTAGACTGGAAGGGCGGGGGGCTGGGTGGGGGAAGGAGAGAGAGACGAGCACAGTCCTCGTGTGTCTGAGTGTCCTCATCCATCTGAGCTGCTATAACAAAATACAATACACCGGGGGGCTTATAAACAACAGAAATTCATTCCTCACAGTTCCGGAAGCTGGCAGGTCCCAGGTCAAGGCACCGGCATGGTCACGTTCTTGTCTGGGGCCCTTTTCTGGCTCCTAGCAGGTATCTCGTCACTGTGGGCTCACCTGGTGGCGGAAGGGACAAGGGATCCCTCTGAAGCCTCTTTTATAAGGCTGCTAATCTCATTCCTGAGCCTCCTCCTTCACGAGCTAATCGCCTTCTGAAGGCCCCACCTCCCAATTCCGTAGTCTTGGGGGGTTAGGATTTTACTGTAGGAGCTGGGGAGGTGGGGCACACAAACCTTCAAGACAGAGCACGAGCAAGTGAGAACAGCTGTACGTGAAGGCACCTTAGAGTGTTGGGGCTGAAGGAGACACGAGAAATGGGCAATGAGCTAGAAAACTGAGCAGGGGCAAGCTCAGGGAGGGAGAATCACGATCAGAGGATTCTTCAGAGAGTGCTCCCCACAGTGCTGCGGGGAGCAGATGGCAGTGGGGGCTCTGGCTTTCCTTTCATGGAAGCTGTTGGCCGCTAGGTTCCAGAGCCTCAGCTCTAGCTCCCTAGGACCCAGCAGGGCCCAGGCCGTGGGCCGGGCCACCTGGGGCCCTGAGAATGACCCACACGCTCCCGTGTTTTGACAGATGCTACATCACCCTCACTCAGTCTCTGCACCTGACCATGAGCGGAGCTCCGGCAGGACCCGCGGGCACAGGCAAGACGGAGACCACCAAGGACCTGGGCCGAGCACTGGGCATCATGGTGTACGTGTTCAACTGCTCAGAGCAGATGGACTACAAGGTAAGGCCCGGCTGGGCGGGGGTGCCTGGGGACCGGGGGGCAGGCCACACCGGGGACCAGGCTCATCCATGCCACCCTGGCCCGGCTCAGAGGCCCGGCCCTGGAGGGTTCTGCTGGCTGCATCCCGGGAGACCTGAGGATCTCTGACCCCTGGAGCTTGTTGACCTCTCCATAAGCCGATCGGCTTCCACCGATGAACTTTGCAGCCGTAGGTGGGTTATTTCATGTGGGCCTCTTCATTTTGTGACCCGTACAATGGAGAAGCTGAACATATATCTGAAGACTTAAGTTCACTGTTTGACCTAGAACCACAAAAAAGCTCACAAGGGGCTACCGTAAAATCTTCACATAAAAGTCGTACTTGTGCTTTTGTGGAAAAGAGGACATTTCCTCAGAATTTCTACAAGGGCAGGTGTGACCCCCTTTTTTTTTTCATTTTATTTTATTTTTATGTTTTTATTTGATTTTTGAAAGAGAGAGAGAGAGAGAGAGTGTGTGAGTGCAAGCAGGGGAGGGGCAGAGAGAGAGGAAGACACATAATCCGAAGCAGGTTCCAGGCTCTGAGCCATCAGCACGGAGCCCCATGCGGGACTCGAACCCACGGACCGTGAGATCATGACCTGAGCCAAAGTCGGACACGTAACTGACTGAGCCCCCCGGGTGCCCCGGGCAGGTGTGACCTCTGAAGTCAGACTCGATTAACCTCCATTCCTAATCAGTGATTCGATGCTCACAACGGACAAATGCAAGGGTAATGGTCTTCACTCAGGCGCTCAGCATCGTCTTCTCAAATATATTCCAAGTCCTGTGTCATAGAGAAAAGCAAGAGAAAATGACAGGCTTATAGGTCACTTCTTAGGTAGAAATATTCTGCTTACAACCAGATTTCCTATAGATGCTCTTTATAAAAAAAAAATGGAATAAGATTCTCACTTTTTCATTATTTTTACTTTGTTTTCCTGTATTATTTTTGTAAACTGTCTTACGTCCCTTTTGCAACAGGATGGCACGTAAATAAATTTATAGCGGGGGAAAAAATAAAACAATTGCATTAAGTAGATTAAATATTTATACATAGAAATCATGGTATGATGGGTACAAAGTAAATGTAATTTAAAAATAATTTTAGAGACTTCAAGGGAACATATAGAACTCCAAACGAGATTCATCAGCTGTAACTTTAATAATTTCTCTCGTACATAAAATTTTGCTGTGCAAAGAGTTGCAGCAGCCAAAAAGCACCATGTTTTTTTCCCCCGGGAAGCAAACAAAATGAGGATTCAGACCCCAAAACAGCTGTCTTCCCCATATTTCACTGGGTCTAAATTTTAGCATGATTGCTCTTACTGCTGGACACATTACAGTGATAGTTCTCTTTAAACCAGGCTGAAATAAGAAAGGTTTTCTATTTCTTTTTTTAAATTGTTTTTTCTAACGTTTATTTTTGAGAGAGAGACAGAGTGTGAGTGGGAGAGGGGCAGAGAGAGAGGGAGACACAGAATCCGAAGCAGGGCTCCAGGCTCTGAGCTGTCAGCACAGAGCTCAACGCGGGGCTCGAACCCACGAACCGTGAGATTGTGACCTGAGCCGAAGTCAGACGCTTAAGCCAACTGAGCCACCAGGCGCCCCCCAAAGTTTTTTTTTTTCTATTTAAACAAACAAACTCAACCTTTAAGAATTATTTTAAGTTTCTAGATTGTTCTCTAGTTGAGCAAAGGCAGCATTGACACCCAAGAGGATATTTCATTTAGATGTGGAAGACCTGGTGAATTTTGATTGAAGGAAATCAAAATATCTTCAAAGTTATGCCTGACATGTCAAGCAGGAATAGAGGAGTTCGCCCCATGGGCCAGGGGTCACCGAGGCCATCTTACCCAATTCTTCCAACACTTATTACTGAACTCTGACCCCAGCAATTCCTCTGAGAGTACAGGATGAGAGGAGGGGTCTATCCATCGTTTGTCTGGACTGTGCAAAGTTCTGGTCAAGTCTAGCCTAGATCGGAGGAAGCACTGATCGGAAGAAGAACAATGGGTATGGCTGTAGTGAAAGACACTAGAAGGATAGCGGTCCCTTCCTAGGCACCAAATGTCCTTTGTAACCAACGGCCTCACTGCACTGTTTGCAAACCTCCTCTTCCCTTTGTTGTCCAGTCCTTGAGAATTATTTTCATCACAAAGCACTCTCCAGCAATCAATTTATTGAGTATCGCCATTGCTCAGCAAGCATTGTGCATCATGAGAAGATGGATGGATGGATGGATGGATGGATGGATGGATACATAGATGATATAAATAGACATAGGTGAGAGATGAGAAAGAGAGAGAGATGAGAGCATGATGGATAGGTGATAGATAAATGATGGATAGAGACAGAGACAGACAAAGTATAACCCAGTCTACCTGGAAAGGCAAGAAAGATACGTGAAATAATTAGGGGAGATACCAAAGAGCATGTAGAATGTGTGTTTTAAGAACTCTAATCCCTGGATGACTTCAGAGACAGGGAAGAGTACAGGGCACGCTGGTTGGGAACATCCTGGAGGATGTGAGACCAAAGGCTGTTTAAGGTTTGGGTGTTGCCAAACAGGGCATGTGCCATTTTAACACCGCCTAGCCTATGAAAACATCAAGGGTAAAGACATGACCAAGTTCTCTGTGCATCCCATTCTTCCCCTACTCCTTGCTCTGACCTCTCCCCTGACCTGTCCTCACAGGGCATGGCTCGGATGATGGAGAAGATGGAACGGGGGTCAGGAAGAGCCTTCTGGCCCTTCCCCAGATGTCATTCCAAAGTGTCATTCATGAAACTCACAACAACTCCGTATCACCAGAGAAAAGCTAGCAATAAATACAGAGTAGCAGCCGAGTGCCTGAGAGGGAACAGAAAATAGGAGAGAGGGGTTCAACAAGAAGCCGGGGTGGGGGGGGGACATAAAGCCAAGGAGAGAACATGACCCTGACGTGGTGGCCATCAGGAAGACCCTGCAGGCTTCAGAAATCAAGGCGGGGCATGATGAAAACGGATGGCATCTGAGGATGACTCCTGGGTAGCAGGACAAGTGGAGGCAGGACAGGACTGGAAGGAGGAAAATTTTTTGCTGAGAAACTTGCAGTTGTTCAAACCAGGGATGGTCAGCAGCCAGACATCAGGGTAGCATAAGTGGAAAAGAAAAAAGGAGAGGCTTCAAAGAATGGAATGATACCTGGTGAACATGGGGAGGGGTGGGTGGTGAAACGGGATGGGGTTGGGGTAAAGAGGAGAGGTGGGCTATGGTCGGGGACCCCCACAATTCCCCTTGCCTTCTCAATGCCACACAGAGGCATTGGGTCATAGGGCAGACACAACAACAGTGTGGAGACTAGTGGAAAAGGCAAAGTTACTGCTCCCCTCTCTTTAGTTCTGGTTGAAAAACCCACATGCCTGGCTACATTTTCTGGAAAACATCGCGGCATTAATGCTAAGACGTTCTTTATTTTCTGGCCACGGTGCTTTCCCCCTTGATCTCAATTCAAAGATGCTATTGCCGAAGCAGCAAATGTAGTTTAAAAAAATTTTTTTTAATGTTTCTGTATTTTTGAGAGAGAGAGCGCACAAGCAGGGGAGGAGCAGAGAGAGAGGGAGACACAGAATCCGAAGCAGGCTCCAGGCTCTGGGCCATCAGCACAGAGCCCGACGCAGGGCTCAGACCCATGAACCATGAGATCATGACCTGAGCTGAAGTCGGACACTTAACCGGCTGAGCCACTCAGGGGCCCCCTCTTCCCTCCTTTTCGAAGGCTGCCTCACATCCAGCCTAGCTGGTGTGATATTAGGCTGGTTCTCCTAAAACATTGATTTAACCATGCTTTGCTCCAAAATTCCACGGCCCCTTAGAATAATTCAAGGCTTTCCCTAACCATGGCCTCCTTTTGTGATTCAACTTTCTTTTTTTTTTTTTTTTTTTAAGTCTATTTGAGAGAGAGTGCGTGGGAGGGGCAGAGAGAAAGGGAGAGAGCGAGAACCCTAAGCAGGCTCCACACTGCTAAGTGCAGAGCCCGATGCAGGCCTCGAACTCGCAAACCGTGAGATCGTGACCAAAGCGGAAACCAAGAGTCAGACGGGACACCCACCTGACAGAGCTACCCAGGCGCCCTTGTAATTCAGTTTCCCAGCCAAGATGGCACCTTTATTTTTCTCTAGACGTATCATGATTTTGGTCATCCTTTGACCATAATAATTACTTCTAGAAAGCCCTTGGCCCTTCCTTACTTTACCCTCTTCCATTCTGCCTACATGGATGCTAATAAGAGCATTCCCAGGGTATGAAGATCCCATATAGGCTCTGTGAGATACCAACACTTCAGGTCTCCTGACTTCCCTTCTTCTCTTTTGTCCACCACACATGTTGCCCAGCGTGCATCCCGAGAAAACCAGGGTTTCCCATGAGGAAAACAAAAAATCCTGCTCATAAAACAGACACTGACCGAATTTCGTTGCGCAGGACTTCTCAGTGCTCCCCTTAAAATCCTAACGTCTGTTGTAAGCTGGCAACAGAGGGTTACAGAATGTGGCGTTTCCTAAACTTGATCGACCCAAATGCCTTGGCTTCAGGGAGCGTCTCCCAGATGCGGCATTCCATGAAATAAACTTGGGCGAAAGAGGTCGTGATGCCGTCTGAAACTTACCTCTTTCCGCCAAACGGATCTCTAGAGAGTGCGCTGACCCGCTCCTCTGAACGACGAAACGTCTGTGTCTTCTACTGTCCATCGGAACCACTGCTCACATGGCAATTTACCCGCTTTGGCTGTATGATTTCTGTCCACAACCTAACTGGAAGTCCTTAGAGGGACTGAGCCCTTCAGTGACTAGTGTGCAAGCTGCGCTCAGAGCTGACGGCCAGCGAGTGCTCACTATGGGGGAAACAAGTGGGACTTGGCCACTATTTGCATTTTCCCAGGGCTTCGGTGATGTCTCCTTGACAGTGGCCTTGAGAGTGTCTCCCTGTAACCTCCCCCTTTGTGTTGCTTCCTGGTTTACTGGTTCACACCGAACGCCCAGGAGGTTTTTATTTTCAGGACAGATGATAGGCCATCTTCCCTTTGAAATTCTTTTCTTGCTCTCATTTGAAAAGATTTACCTGCCACTCAATTTTCTATAGATCTTATCACGTCCCCCGTCTGTCCCCAGCTTCCTATCATGCTGGGAAGCCTGGGTGTTTGGGCACGGATCTCAAGATACAGATAGAAACTTTTTTTTTATCAGTGTGTGCCAAAGGCGGAGTGGAAGGCTTTTTTTGTCTGTATGGTGCAAAAAAAAAAAAAATAATATTTTATTCATTTCCTGGGATTTTGAAAGCTCCAGAATCAACAGTAACGCAAGCCTGATGACATTTTGAAGGGATTTGGGTCCAAGTGTCTTGAAGAGGTTCTATTTGATCCCGTGACTTACGTTGGCACCCATAGCCGTCAAAAACGTAATTGCCCTTGAAACTTTAATAAGAGTTTCAAACCAGCGGTCTTAGGGGACTGGAAGTATCTATAACAAAAAGGATGGAAACTGACTTAGATGTGTAATGATGAACCCAGCGCTGATAGTGATTTAATCTTTGTACATTTCATTGCAGTCTTGTGGCAACATCTACAAAGGCCTCGCTCAGACCGGTGCCTGGGGCTGTTTTGATGAGTTTAATCGAATCTCTGTGGAGGTCTTATCAGTGGTGGCGGTGCAGGTATGGGGGTCGGAAGTAGGTGGGAGGCCACGGGCTTGTTGCCAGCACTGTGAAAGTCGACATCTTCTTGCTTTCAACCCTGCTTGTCCACTTCCGTGTCTCCTTCCCCCCTTGCATTTCACGTCCCTTCCTTCCTCTGCCCTCTAAGACAGACGCTGGTGCAGGATATGGGCGTCCTGTGGGTCCCTACCAAGGTGAGTCCATTTATTGGCCATGGGACTCCATTTCCTTCTCTGTAACATGTCCCCTCTGCTTCACCGGGGGTGAGGAGAGGAGCAAACAAGATGGCGGAGCCCAGCTCTTTGGAAAGGCCATGGACTTTGGGAATGTCTTCCATTTTGTCACTGAGTCTGGGCAAGCTGCTCCAGCCCCCTTGGTCCAATTCACCTCATTGTATCTAAAGCAAGGATCACAGGATGAATGTTGTTGACGGAAGGAAGTCACGTTTGGGGCAGATTTATGTAAGCTGCCACTTGTCTTTCAAATTATCCAGAAAACACTCATTCAACACCTATAGCATAGTAAGTGCTACGCTCAAAACTAGGGTGAAGGGTCCCTGGTTGAGTAGGACGTGATCCCTAACTTTAAAACGACTTTAGTTCTTGAGGGGGACATGAGCATTCTTCAGTGTTCTAGAAGTGATTTAACTTCTGGCTCACAATATGGGGCAAGACTGCTAGACGCTTCCTCTCTCCCTGCCTCCCTCCATTCCTTCCTTTCTATCTCCCTTCCTTCTCTTCCCTTCTTCCATGTTTGTTTATTTATTTTGAGAGGAAATAGAGAGTGAACAGGGATAGGGCAGAGAGCGAGGGACAGAGAGAGTGAATCCCAAGCAGGCCTTGCACTGTCAGTGCAGAGCCTGATGCAGGGCTCGAACTCCTGAACCATGAGATCATGACCTGAGCCGAAACCAAGAGTTAGACGCTCAACTAACTGAGCCACCCAGGCACGCCCAGACACATTATTCTTAAGCCAGGCCTTAAAAAAGGTGGAGATGATGTGGATGAGGGTAAGGGTCTTCTAGACAGAGGAAGTGAGCAGACAGAGGGGGAGAGGGAGGGGGAAAATGAGCAAACTGTTGTTGAAAGTCTGTCCTGTACCAGGTACTTTTCACATATCCTCACATCCGTACAAGGTGTACAAGGATACACCCACAGACACACACACACACACAGACACACACACACACGGGGTAGGGAGAGAAACCAAAGATCAGCACAGAAAAGTAACTGGTCCCAGGGCACACTTTTGGCAGGTGGCGAGGTTAGGACTTGAACCCAGCACCCCCACCCACACTGCCCAGGTGCAGGTCTAGACACAGGTATCTGTCAGATACAAGGGATAAAATGCTAGAGAAGAAAATGAGGCTTGAGAGGCAGGTTCGAACCAAACAGCAGACAGGCTTAATTAAATGCCATGATGTGTACTGTCTTCAGCAGGCAACGGGGAGCCCCTGGAGGTTTCTGAAAAAGAAATTGCCCTCTGCCTGGCAGTGGTTTTAAGGAGGGGCTGAACAGGAGGAAGATCAGTGGCTGTGAAGTCAGTGGTCTCTCCTGGGGGTCCCGATTGGAGCTGGGGCCTCAGTGGGAGCCCCCTGGCCTTCCCCATGGCCTCCCGGTCACCCCAGCAAAGCATAGCCTTTGCTGACACCTGCTCTGGGCTCCTTCCTGTAAGCCGGGTGCCCCTGTTTCCTGCTGGGGATGCTTGTGGTTTCATAGCCTGCCCCCTCCCCCCACCTCTATTGCCTCCGCCAGGCAAGGCCAGCGTAAGGGGGCTGCGCGGTGGAGAATGTTGGGTGGTGATGGCACTAGGGGCTGGCATGACGGGTGCTCCCAGCTTGTGCCTGGACTCCATACGGTGGCTTTTATTTCCAGAGTGGCGTGTATACAGTACAGGGAAAGAGAAACAGAGCTCTGGAGGACTCTCTTTCCTTCGGGTCCAAACAAAGGGGCAAGAAAGAAGTGTAGCTTGACTGCCAGTTTTCAGAGGACAGGGGCAGCGGAAGGGAGGCGGGAGGCGCTGCAGACAGAGGGTGGTCCTCGCTGGAGAAGCCGCCTGAACCAGCATCCTGACTCCCTACTCCGCGTGCCCCGGCAGGAGCCAGCCTCCGCCCCCGTCACCCCCTCCTCCAGCGTGCTGACCCCACGCCACGTGCTGTCACCGTCCAAGCAGGCTGGACTCGGAGCTGGGGGCAGGATCGCAGCCACCGCGAGGCGGAACAGCAGTGGAGCTCACAGCACCAGCTGATTCCAAGGTCCCCCCCCACGCCCGCCCACTTCATCTCCGGTTGCCGCTGGGAGCTATAAGCGGTCAGGGGGCTCCGCAGGGTCCCTTCACTTCCCCCACGCCTCCCAAGGTCATCCGGTCTTCCAGCCCTTGATTTTGACGGCCAGTCTGGTGCTCCCATTCATGGGTTCCTGTCTGGCCTGCTGCTCGGTGAGGCTCCTGCAGGTTGCAAAACCGAGGGCTCTTCCGTCCCCCAGTGCTGATCCCTTTCCTTAGGACCGTTGGATTCCGCAGGAGTTAGTAGGAGCAGTAAGTCGAGCGGCTGGCCGGAGCACTCTCTTGGCCTGAAAGCCCTTGACTAGCTTGGGTCGCGGGAGCCGATGGTGTGTGTTTCCAGGCTGCTGCCCCGGTGGCTTGAGGTCAGCTGTGGCACCTGGCGAGTGCCACAGACCAGGGGCATTTGGTTTTCCTGGCGAGCTGCTGCTTCAACACTTACCAGCACGCCTTTGCTTTAGAAGAATGCACGTCAGGGCCGCCAGATTTTTTTTTTTTTTAATTTTAGAGAGCCTCTGAAAGTCCAGATTTTTATGTAAAAACATCTCTAGATTTCTTGGGGCGCCCGGGTGGCTCAGTCGGTTCAGCGTCCGACTTCGGCTCAGGTCACGATCTCGCGGTCTGTGGGTTCGAGCCCCGCGTCGGGCTGTGCGCTGACAGCTCGGAGCCCGGAGCCTGCTTCGGATTTGTGTCTCCTCCCTCCCTCCCTCTCTCTCTCTCTGCCCCTCCCCCGCTCATGCTCTCTCAAAAATGAATAATGTTAAAAACACTTTTTTTAAACATCTCCAGGCTTCTCAAAGTTGTCAACTCACTCAATTAAAAAACAAAACAAAACAAAACAAAAAACCAAACACACAAAAACCAAAACCTGAGCCGGACCAAGAAAGCACGGTGCCGGCTGCATTCACCTTGCCGACTTAGAGCCCAGTTTGCGCCCCTTCGCGGCCTGTGTGAATTTCAGGATAGAAGATAGAGTGACACGAATAAAATCAAGCTTTCTCAGAGTACTAAATCTCGGCCCGCAGTGGGCTCTGAGAATTGGGACGGAAGTCTAAGCTGTTCCCTGCCCTGGTGGCCGTTGGGATCGAGGACTGTCATTATAATGTGCACCTGGGGCTTTTCTCCTTAAGTCGCCTACTGCAGATAACGGGCAGCTCTCGGATCACCCGGGTTTTTATCTCCTTGCCCGCCATCCTCTGCTCATTCTACCTAGGTGGTGCCCACCTCCCTCCTCTCTGCTTGTCTGACTCCCTGTACCCTCTCTCCTGACTGCTGGCCCCAGACCTCAGAGGGCCTCCCTCGTGCTCTCCAGCCCGGCTGCCCGGCTGTGACTGCCCTCACTTGAGTAGTTACACCCGTGGTGTCCCAGCTCAGCACTGGGGGCCTGCCAGAGGGCCATCTCGCCGTGTCCCTCCAAGAAGCCCAGGGGAAGAGCCAACGGGGAAGCAGTGAGAGCCAGACCGGGGTCAGCCCAGAGCTCATCTCGCGTTCCAGAGATGCTTTGAGCAGCCCCGCGTGCAGCTGGGATCTGAAAAGAAACAGGTTCTTGTGGGGTGGGGTGACCCGGGCAAGGGGCGGGGAAGTGGTTGTGCGCGTGGGTCACGTTTGAAACCGCACAGTATTCAGCCCCGGTGCTGCCACTTAACTAAGCCGTGTGCTTTGGGGCAAGTCCACATCTCAAGCTCTCCGTCTGTCAAGAGGGTTAATAACAGTACGTGCCAGATGCAGTTGTAACAATTATTAAACGAGTCAATACGTGTAAGAGCCCTTGAAGCCCTACGGATAGGAGGCGTGCGACAAATATTAGTCACCGCGATGGTGCTGATTATGGTGGTGGCCATGATGTTGGTGATCACTATCGTTGCCTGAACACGGCCGGAAACGGGTTGAAGGGAAGCAGAAGGCAGGGGGATACAGAGCAGGGAAAGAGGGTCCACGCCCAGGTCTATCCAGTCTCCCGGACACCCTTGGCTCCTTCTCAGCTGGCCCGGCCTCAGGCTCTCTTCCCAAACTTGGCGTCCCAACTGGTGAGGCAAAACCCAAGAGCCCATTGGTCCCCGGGGCGCAATGGATGAACACTGCGAATTCACCTGATCCTGAAACTGCCCGACAGGATGTCCTAGGAGGTTCACCAAGATCAGTTCCTGTTTGCTTCTGGAATTAAATGAGTTCCACCCGGAATTCCCCGGGTGCTTTCACACTGCAGTCTAGGAACACACCCCGTGGGAGAGACGGTTCTCAAGAAAGTGGTCTGACAACAGCCTGGGCAGAATTGGAGGCTGTGCCACTTAAAATCATACACCCGTCCAAGGGGAAAATTGCACTTAATTATTCACACAGTCATCTAGGCTGGCATATTGGTTCAGAAGCCGCACCAGCTGGGACAGTCCTCCTCCACCCTCCCCGCCCCTCCCTTCGGCTCCTTGCCTGCCTGTCTGCGCTCTTCTAGTAACTTCCACAAAAGCGCGTGTGCGTCAGTGTTCTCGTAGGTGGGTATTTTCCTGTTTCTGTCCGATGGGTCAACAGAATTACATACCCAACGGGGAAAGAGTGTGGCATTTCCAAGAGCAATTACTCTGCTGTTTTAAAAAACGTAGAAAATACTACTTTTTTTTTTTCCTTCGGAATTTTGCTAATGCTGTTGCGGTCAGCTCACCGGGCCTCGGGTTATCCGGGCCCAGGGACAAGTGTCACCGGGATGCACTCCACTGCCCTCTCCC